TGCAAAAAACGCATCTTCGCACGGGCAGCCCGTGCGTTGGCCATTTATTTTGAGTTTGATGTGGAGTGTTTCACTCAAATTTTATTCCGAAATGTTTCATTCACCGAGCGGATTCAGGAGTGGTAAAAAATCCCGGGAGAGAGAGAGAGGGACATGCTGCAGCCAAGCATTTTCAGGCCACTTTTCCCGCCGGATATGCTTTATGCACACGCATTTCTGGGAAGCGGAGCGGTGGCACCGGTGAATTCGCGGCATCGATTCCGGGACATGTCAGATGCGCCACGAATCAGTGCTGGTTTGGGGCTGACATTTCTGATTCGGCATTTCATACGCCTGGAACTCAATTATGTCATTCCGCTGAGGTATAAATCCGGTGACCAGTGCGCGCCGTGCTTTCAGTTTGGTGCTGGTGTTAACTTCCTGTGATTTGCCGCGCACTGTTCGCTGCTTTATCTTTCCCAGAGATCCAAGGGGCTTGTTGCTGACACAGTGAAGCTCTCTCGATGCCCCTGGGCACTGCATGATCTGGTCGGCGTGTATACATAGCTTTGACTCGATGACCAGTTTCTGCTGTTGCTGCATCAGGCGATGCTCAGCTCGTTTGTTTTCTTCGTTTCCCGATGAATAATACGCGGTGATTGTTTTTATTCATTTTTCTTTCGTTTCTTTATTGTAACATTGTTTCGGCAGGGTCACCCAGCTCCCCACTGAGTTTTTTTGAATAGCTACATGCCAGATGGAGGTCAAAAAAATTGCGATTTTCCATATTTACGGCGAACTGACTTTTTTCGGACTACCAGGCCTCATCGGACAGTAAATTGTGGCGCAGCATTTCTCAGCTGGCCATGTAGAGAGAGCTGCAATGCTTGTAGCCCGGTTTCTTCATTGCCAGTACTAGTTCATAGGGATTCCACTCAGATTCAACGAAAATTTCATGTGTTTAATGTTAGGCTGCCTTTTTGCTTATTGTTTTTTTTTTCATATTTCAAGGAATAAAAATTTTTTGTTAAATCGTGACTTATCATTTTGGGCAGTGCTGTGCCAAATTATTTTTTTTTTTTTTTAAAGTTTTGCAACTACTGTGTTTCGTTTTTTACCTAATTTTTTCCTCAGTTATGTACACAACATGTTACTTTTATTTATCAAACAGGAATATATATTTTTCCCATGCGTTTAGTAAAAACCAAATATTACTGTTCCTATTTACAGTGCTTCGGGAGAAGGGGCAACAGCGTGAGAAGTATACTTATTTTTGTCGAAAAAATAGCAAGAAAATTTATAGTGCTAACATAGCATCAACAGAGTTCTTTGAACAAGAGCAGTATCACAACTGCTGCAGAGATTTTTTGTTTTTGGCGCTCGATGATTTAATTTCTGCGTTTATGATTCAAAGGTTATTTGTAAAAGTGGAAGAGCGCATGGTCGGTGGACGATTGGAGTCGAATAGTTTGAGGTTTACTTCGTGGAATGCTCAAGTTAAAGTCCGGTCTCTCAGCTCGGGAAATTTGAAATAGCGCGCTTGTACTGCCTTGAATAAGCGAAGGAGGACGAGGAAGATTAGCCGGTTAACGTACATCATGTGAATTAGGAGTGGCAAGATCCGGGACGAGGAGATGGTGATGCTCAGCACCTGGTAATCCCTTCAGGAGATGCGTGGTGCCTCAGGATCGTCGGGTGGCTGACCGCAGAATGATGCGGCATTAGGCAATGTGCTGGTTGTTATAACTGAAGGACCGTACTGGTTTGAGCCAGCTATTGGTTTACCACTGATGCACCACCAACTGTGTATGCCACTTTCTTTCCTCTTTGTTCCTTGGTTGTTTTGAACCAATCGGAGATCGACAGCTGTGATTTCAAAATTGGTTTTTCAGTTCTTGGTATGTCCGGGATAGCATGAAAGTTTTAAAAAGAGAGATGGAATATTTTTGTTTCAGGTGGTTTTGAGGAGGTGAGGAGCCACTGGCAATTACGCTGTTATATGTCAACCAAACGGACGCTTACGTTTGTAACTGGTAACGTGAACAAAGTGAACGAAGTACGTGCCATTCTTGGCGACCTGTTCACGGTAGGCATTGCTCTCGGCGTATCGCGCTTGTGTTTGGGCCCATTAGAATTTCTCGCAAAGTTTCTTCAAACGAAAAATTGAAGTAGAGAGATTAATGAGAAGAGAAGAAACGAAAAATGTGCAGGAGAAAATTAGGTGCTGAATAATAAGGCAGCTAGAACTCGTTCCAGTCACGCGATATGCACTTGTTGGTAAAATTGAGGGTGAAC